TGTGGAGGTCTGGTGGGTCTGGGAAGGAGGTGTGCCACTGTGCACACGTCCTACCTTTTCAAAACCCCTAAGATGGGAAGAATGGGGAACACCTGCTTAAAGGGACCCCCTCCTCTGGGGTGGTGAAAACACTGGCGAACTAGGGAGAAGTGGGGTTACACAATGGTGACACAGCCAATGCTTCTGACTCACGCACTTTAAAATCGCCAGGCGGAACGGGGGTACAGTTGGCGGGGGTACAGTTGACAGTAGAGTGACTGCTCGGCATGTGTAAGGTAAGGCCCTCGGTTCCATCCCCAGGACCACACGCACACACACACTGTTATGCAGATTTCACTTGAATTTTTAATTTATTTTTTAAATTTTTCTCTCACTTGACTTTTATTTATTTTTTTCTCACTTGAATTTTAAAAAGACAATAAAACAAACTAGTTTCAGAGCTGGAGGAGTGGCTCAAGTGGTAGAACACCTGCTTAGCAAGTGGGAAGCCCTGAGTTCAAACTCCAATACCACCAAAAAAACACCAACCCCCCGCCTCCATCATGGTGGAGGAGTCATCCGGGACAGTGGCCACAGACCAGGCTCTCAGAGGGGCCTGTATGAAGGTGGGTGGCTAGGGTGGCAGAAGGAAAGAGGGTGTCCTTCCTGGTGAAGCTCTGACCATCTACTGAGCTGGTCTGAGGGAGGCAAGCCTCACAAATGTTGAGGACACAGCTCTACCCACTTCCTAAGCTGGGTATTTTGTGTTCCCCACACAGGAACTGGGCTTGCTCAATGCTGGCCTATGGCAGTGTCTCAATGTTGACTTCAGCTTGGTCCTGGGCAGAAAGAGAACGTGAGAGGACTCTCCCTCAAGGAACATTGCTGACCCAGGACGGCACCTGTCCTGCACCACACCAGCGGGACATGCCTGTGGCTGTTTCGTTTTGTTTTTTGGTGGTACTGGGGTTTGAAGTCAGGACCTTGAGCCTTCAAGGAAGACACTCTTACTTCTTGAGCTACGTCCCCAGCCATGTTTATCCCACAGCATTGGGTGCTCTTGCTCTGCGGGCTGACAGTCTGCAGGGTGAGGGATGGGAGAATGGCACAGTTAAGTGCTACACAGCCGCACAACAGAGGACCCAGCCTCAGTGGGGACCTAAGGGAAAAGCTTCCTGGGAAGGGAGTTGAGGGGTGGTCATCAGCATGTGCAAAGGCCTAGAAGCAGAAGCTCTTGGTTCAACAGAGCAACTGGGAAAAGTGAATGCCAGAGTGGAGATGGCTGTGCTGGGGAGTCCTGGGGCCGAGTCCCACCAGCCTAGCATCCCAGCAATCAGAGGTGCAGCAGGGAAGCGCTTGTTACCAAGAGGCAGCAAAAGAGAGCACAGGACATGTCCACTCTGTGGCCACTCTAAGGAGAACGGGCAGCAACGGTTTCACGGAGAAACCCCTGAACAACTGCAGGGAAGCAGAGCGGGGGAGCAGTGCCCCACAGCCTCACTAAAAGGAGCTGGACAAGGCAGCAGGCATCTGCACAGGGCTCAAAGAAACAGTTTCTATATCAACATTCAAAACACAAGGCATTAGGAAATATATTAACATTGACTTATGTAAACATCCAAATAAGATATCACTTATTTTGAATGGGAAATGTTGAGTTTTATTAATTATTTTTTATTTAGTGGTACCAGGGTTTGAACCCAGGGCTTACACCCTGAGCCACTCCACCAGCCCTTTTTTGTGATGTTTTGTTTGAGATAGGGTCTCACAAACTATTTGCCTGGGTTGGCTTTGAACCTCAATCCTCCTGATCTCTGCCTCCTGAGTAGCTTGTCTTACAGGCATGAGCCACCAGTGCTGGGCTGAGTTTGCTTTATTTTGTAACGGGACTAGGGTTTGAACTTAGAGCTTTGTGCTTGCAAACTTGAGCCACACCTCCAGTTTACTTTGCTCTGGTTATTTTTGGAGATGAGGTCTTGAAAACTATTTGCCCGGGCTGGCCCCGAACCTTGATCCTCTTGATCTCTGCCTTAGTACTAGGATTACAGGTGTGAGTCACAGGTGCCCAGGTCCCAGGTGATTCTTAATGACATCTGATGAAGATTCCTGATGGTGGTTCTTCTTCATTCCTCAAACATTTACTGAGTGTAGGTCCGGAGAAGCAAAAGAAACAAAACAAATTCAGGGAGCACATGGTTTTTCTGGTGGGTGGTGACAAATACTGTAGAGGACATACCTGTCCCATGGATGTGCCACACCTTCTGAGGCAGTCCTCGGTGAAGTGCCCTCCTCTCCTCCTCAGGATGGACAGTACCGTCCTGGGAGATGAAGCACTGGGGATCAGTTGTGTCCTGGCAAGGACTGCACAATGACACCTGCCCCTGAGTTCCCATTCATTTTATTTAGGACTCAAATGAACACCAATCAAACATCGCTAAATCACTTATTTTTACATTTACACAGTCAGATTTTGCTGCAAATTCACCTTTGCTCTGTAAGCACGAATGTATTTTTATTATACACATGCAGGTGCTCTGAAGCATCAGTCCAGTGACTATTTCCCTTCTTTTGAGGCACGGTCTCCCTATGTAGCCCAGGATGGCCTGAAACTCACTCGTTCTCCATCCTCCTAACCCAGCTCCCAAGTGCTGGTGTACAAGCATGTACTACCACACCCAGCTAAAAGATAAAATGGTGCAACTTCTTCTCCTTCAGTCTTTAGCTCATAAGGTTCTAACCACATGTCCTTCACATCGAAAGAAATAAGAATTCTCCAGTCTCTTCGCATAGAGACTCCAGAGAGATTCAGGTCAGACAGCCTGGATCACATTTGAATCCCTGTTATCCAGAGTGTCTAGCCAAGTGAGACCTCCAGGCTTCCCTGAGCCAGGAGTATGGACAAAATGGCTTTAACACCTGCAACCGCCTGAGCTGCCAAATAATGGATGTGCCTGCGGATCCAGCCGTCTGCCGTGCAAGGTTTTGTTTGCTTGTGTGGTTTCCGTCATGTCACAGGTTGATGTGTCCATGTGACAGTGTGTTCACAGACTGCTTCCTTAGTTCCAACCAAAGTGTTAACAAATAATTCCATGTAGCGTGGTAGAATGAGTGAGCCTGCAAATGGGAGTCATCCCTAACTTTGAGAGCACAATCAGACACTGCTATAAAGGAGATCAAAAAAACTATACCAGATTACTTTTTAAAATCCACATGCTTTCTTGCCCAGTGAAAATGCTGTAGAGGAGGGACCTGTGAGGTTTGCTTGGCACTCCTGCCCTAAGTGATGACTTCTCCCTGTAAGCCACATTTAGGCTGAGGATGAGAGCCACTGGGAATCCATGCTGGAGATAGTCGCTATACAGTTCTGCCTACTCTGTGACAATTTTTTTTTTGAGCAGTATTAATCTTGTGAGTTTCATAACATTTTGGATTTAGTAAAAGATGTGACAAAAAAAGATATCTGTAAAAATTAAACATATTCCTGCACAGTGGGAAAACAAAGCAATGTAAATAGGGTCTGTGGTCTAGTTAACAGCATTGCACCAGTGCTAATTTCTCTCTTTTGATATTAACATTGGAAAGGTGGGTGGGATCTGTGGAAATTGCCATCTTCACAGTTATTCTGCAAACTGAAAATTACTTCAAAAAATTATAAAAACTAAAAGATTAACTATAAATACTTAAGGAGATCACAAAGGCTTTATAAATGGGAGAGAGAAATTGAAGATTTTCTGAAATCTAGAATATTCTAAAACAAATTGCATCAAAAAACTTGAAAAATTAAAGCATGCAGCTTCAGAAATAGGAAAAACTAAAATATCAATTTTAGTTCAATAATTAAAACTCTGAGAAATTCATAAAATACATGACTTACTATTGTATCATAAATTATTTGTTTAAAAACTGATTTTTCTGAGGCCCTAAAGGTATATGGTCTGCATTAACAAATGCATTTAATTTAATCAACTGGCTTATATTACGTTCAATATTTGCTTTAAACATAAATGTTTAAAAGTTTCTAAAAAATGGTAATTCATTATGCAATCCCATCAAATTTTGGCTCATTTTTAACATTGAAGCTAATAAATAATCAAGAAATAATAGGAACATTAATAAAATAATTTATGTTCTATTTGGAAATATTTAGCATCAGATAAAAAAACACTGATAAGAATACAAAAATAATCACACATACCTTTTGGTAGAAAACTCAGGAAAAAGAAGATATTAAATTTAAAGAACTGAATATTCTGTGTCTACACATAAAGCAAAGAACTTAGAAATGACGACTAAGTAGGAATTGATCTTTCTGGGCTGGATCCCCAGAAAGGCCAGATCCCCACTCCTCCGACCCCAGCACAGAGCCACACAAAACCAGCCGCACTCACGTGTCAGAAAATCCAGCCCCCCCCCCCCGGA